GACCGTAGCACAATGTCTTTTATGAATCAGAAAGCCAGGTTCGGATAGTTGACTGCCCTTACGAAAAAAGGTGTGCATTCATAATGCAAAAGTGCATTATTATACGCTGCGTGTGTACCTTTTCTCTTGAACTGCAAGCAATTTGAGGTCAGGGTATGTGTCTTAAACTTGTTTTGTAACTTACATGGAACTTAGTATATGCCTGTTAGATGGTCAATAAGTATTTCTTGGTTTGATAAATTTGAAACTCTTTGATGATTCTTTAAAAACAGCTTTATTGAGATATAATTCATATACATACTATATAATTCACCCACTTAAAGTGTACAATTCAGTGTGGTTTTTTTTAAGGATATTCACATAGTTGTACAGCCAGTGCCACAGTTCAATTTTAGAACATTTTCATCACTCCCGAAAGAAACCCCATACCCTTAGCAGTCAATCCCCACTACCCCTCTTCCCAGGACTAGGCAACCACTAATCTACTTTCTGCTTATTCGGGACATTGCATGTGAATGGAATCATACAACATGTGGTCTTTTGCGCCTGGCTTCTTTCACTTAACATAGTGTTTTCAAGGATCATCCATGTTGTTGCAGGCATTAGTACTTCATTCATTTTTATAGCCCAGTAATACTCAGTTGAACGGATAAACCACATTTTGTTTATTCACCGGCTGATGGACATTTGGGTTAGCTGAGCGACTTTGGACATGTTATGTAAACTCTTTGGGCCTCAGTTTCTTCATCTATAAAATGGTACATTCACCTGTATCATAGAGTTAAATGAGTTACTATATGCAGAGCACCTAAAGCAGTGCTAGCACCCAGTCAGCGCTGTACACAAGTTTATAGCAGAAGTCCTTGGCCTTCACACAAATCGTGTGGCTTCTCATTTATACCACTGATCATATAACACATTGGTGCCTTTACATTTGTTTTGGGCATAAAGTCTAAAATATTTTTAGAACTCATTTAGGACATTTATAAGACAACTGGATATTTGACATTCAAGAAAGATTGTTCATTTGTGTAGGTGTGATATTGGTATTGTGTGTTTTTTTTTAAAGGAGTCCTAGCTTTGAAAGGACTATTTCAAAATATTATGCATGACATAAAATGACACGTGGGATTTACTTTAAATTATACGGAGGGAGGGTAGTGAGAAAGATTTGGCATGTGTTGAACACTGGTGAAGCTAATAATGGATTCTTTATTCTGCGATCACTATTTCTTCACAAATAAGGTCTTTCATTAGTTTTTAGGGAGGTTTTAGGGTCTTTTTTAAGTTTAAAAAATGTATTTATTGATTTTAGAGAGGAAGGGTGAGGGAGAGAGAGAGAGAAAATCACTGATGAGAGAGAATCATTGATTGGCTGCCTCCTGCACCCCCCTCAGCTGGGATCGAGTCCCCAACCCAGGCATGTGCCCTGACCGGGAATCAAACCGTGACCTCCTAGTTCATAGGTCGGCATTCAACCACTGAGCCATGCTGGCGGGGCAGTTTTTAGGGAGGTTTTAACCATGAATCAGTACAACTAGGTAAGCGACAGGGAGTTCTAGGCAACTGTTAGCCCTTCTGTATAGCAGAGGAATGAGCAGTGCTAAAGTGAGTCAGAGGCGTTGGAGAGGGTGAGGAGGAACCTGCTTCAACTTGCTTCTCAAGGTCAAAAGAATCTTGTTTTGCAGCGCTTGTTATCTGTACTGCTCTTACTGGACTTATTACCAACTACCCGGCCTTGACAGCTGTACTTCTGTTGATCTCTCTAACTGGGGTGTAAAGTTCGAGAGGTCTGCAATTACTCTCACCCACGTGTGCATCACTCCTCTTAGGGACAGAGATTTTGTACCAAAATCCAGCTGAAGATCACGTGCAAAACAGTTCAGTCAATATTTGAAAAAAAGAAACCAAGAGTTCATGTCTACAGCCTGCCTCACAGCTTCCTGCTTCCTTTGTCCTGTGTAGTCATGATTTTGACCGCGGGCCAGGTCCCCTTTCCCCTCCCTCTTCCTGTGCTGGCTCACAGCCTTATCTTCACTCTTTCTCTTGACCCTTTTGAGTTTTCACCCAGTGAGACCACTATTGCATAGTGAACAAAATTTACTCCACCCTCTCACTTCATCATTTCTGCCACTTGTTTGGCATAACTTTTTAAAAATATATATATTTTTGTTGATTTCAGAGAGGAAGGGAGAGAGGTAGAAACATCAGTGATGAGAGAGGATCATTGATCAACTGCCTCCTGCACGCCCCACACTGGGGATCAAGCCCGAAACCTGGGCATGAGTCATAGATTGATGCTTAACCACTGAGCCATGCTGGTCAGGCTGTTTGGCATAGCTTGAAGTCTGGCTTCCTGGCGAGACTATGTCCAATAAAAGACACCTCCAGGTCCCTCTGCCACTCAGAATGCTACTTCCCTCAACACATGCATATGTATGCACACTCCTACCCCCACACTCATGGAGGAAGGGGGGACTGGCATGTCCCCTGCTCCCCACTGCCTCTTTCAAACCATGCTTTTCATTTCTCAACAGCCTCTTCCCTTAAGGAAAACAGCAGTGGAGGGTGGTTTCAGAGTCTCAAAATGTGTAAACATAGCAAGCAGCATCCATGCAGTCAACTTCTCTGCCACCCTTCATTCCCTTCATAAGTCACACCTACTGATACCCGCAGCACACTAGGTGCACTGGCTTGTACATACTTTCTTGGATGCTGTTGTGTCCCATCTATGTTTAGAGGTCACTTATTTGTCCTCAAACCATTGGTATAAGTTATACCACCTGTCGTGATTACATAATTGATTAAAATACTAGGGGCCCAGTGCACGAATTCGTGCAC